CCCACAAGCTCTCTTTGCACCTCCATTTTATACGTGGAACGGTTCCACCCTGAGTCTCGCTGTGGCTGGGAAGACCACAGGGTACCTGGGGACTAGGAAGGCTTCAGCTAGAGGTCGCCCCTCAGCGCTCCCAGGGTGTCCGCCTTGTTTTGATTAGTGACTCTGGGACACAGGACCACTGTGCGGTGACACAATCATGACATAAAGACCACCATTAAGACAGGAAGCTGTGGAATCTTAGGAATTTAGCCTATTATCCTCAAATTCTGCTAAAAACCATGACTTCACTTGGACCTATCAATGTCCAATACACAACTCAAGTAGAATAAAACTTGATCTTCATTTTGTATCTTTTATTACTGCAAATCCTTGGGTCAAATTCCTCCTCAGCTCCACATAGATAAGTATGCTAAGTATTTAGAGTCAATGTAAAAGTTTCCAAAAGCACAGCTAATTAGCCTTCAATTTACTCTCCTTTGAAATGGAAGACACCGAAATAAAGGATGTACAATAACATTCAAATACTGAAGAAGTCTTCAGTCATTGCCTTAAAGCAGTGATCACCTGGGTTCTAGGAAAAGCAGAAATCTAAATGGATGAAACCACCTCCAATACATAATCGGCTCTCGAGAAGGGAACTACCTGGCTAGAAAAATCTGGACTGAAGGGCCAGGGAGATGGCTCAATGGAATAAGTGCTTCCCTGGCAAGCACAAGGTCCTGAGCTCAATCCCTGGTCCCCGCCAAAACAAACAAACAAAAAAAATCAGGACTGAGCTAAAGATCAACCAGACTCCAGCCCAGCCCCTAATCCTTACAAGCTCCTGCCTTCACAGAGCTCATTCCTCAGGCTGTGCCCCCTCTACTGCTCAACTAGAGTCTTTTCCTCTTCCTTTGAAGGCCAGCCTCTTGCCCCGCTCAAGCTAAAGTCTCTTAGCATTTTATTGTACTAGTTAAAAGCCTTTTCCTCGAAATTTGTGTTTTAATTTCCATTACTACTAAAAACAAAGATCCATGCTGGCAACAGCAAAATTCATTTGTAGCTGAAGCCCCCTCACTGGCCTGATTTCACTAGGTCTCCAAAACCAGGCGCCTCTGCATCCTTACCCCTTCGTGAGGAAAGTGGCTGCGTCTGTTTTCCTTAGTTGTTCCCAGTGCCCAACACCAAGCAGGGCTTAGAGGTAAGGGGCATAGAGCTAAGGTTCAATGAACATTTGTTGACTGAATGAGGAGACTTCTGAGATGACATCACAAGTCAAGTAAGCAGAGCCCAAGGCACCAGATTTCTATTCAACCACTGCAAACATAAACTTGCAGAGGTAAGGGACTGAAAGGTCTCCATACTGGTGGCCATTATACCATCTTTATCATCAGTGTGACTACATAATACTACAGATGCATGGTGGGAAACAGAAAATACAAGTACAAAGAAAATTTGGGGGGGGGGGCTGGGGAGATGGCTCAGTGGAATAAGCGCTTCCCTGGCAAGCTCAAGGGCCTGAGTTCAATCCCTGGTTCCGCCTAGAAAGAAAGAAAGAAAGAAAGAAAGAAAGAAAGAAAGAAAGAAAGAAAGAAAGAAAGAAAGAAATTCTATAGACCGTTGGCCAAAATACTCTAATCGTCTCCCTTACTGATTGCCCTGTCACAAGTTTGCTACCAGCAGGGCATTCCTCCCCTCTGCCTTCCTCGCAGGCCCAGCCGCCGGCTGCTGGCGCGCAGGCGCACGAGCGCGGGAGGGGCGTGCCGGATGCGCGTCCTAACTTCCGGGCTGTGCGCGTCTGCAGGACCTGGGTCCCTGTCGCGGGTGGCCCGTTCCCCACCCCAGGGGCGGGTGGCAGGTGAGGCTCAGCGCCACGGTGGTCAGGAGGGGTTGGGCAGTGCCAGCCTGGAACCTGCCAGCCCGGGGCATCTCGCGTAGGCGCCGCGCCCTGGCGATCCCGGTTCCGCCTCTGTCGCCTTCTGCGCTGACTTCGGGCAGGGCGGGCGGACGTTTGGCCTTAGCTGGGCCCGGCCCGTGCGCCGCGCCCGCTGTGTGGTTTTGATCCAGCTGCGTGCTTCAGCCTGCTTCCTCCACCAGCATCCTGGCAGCTGTAGCTGGGGACCAGGTGACTATGCACACATTCTGCTTGACCCGGCACAAAGGATGGCCGAAGTGTCACTTTGTTTGCTCGTGTCAGCTTCCTCCTTGTTTTCTGTGTCGCTTTTTCCCTTGCTGGTATCAGTGTCTCCAGTTCCCAAGAGTCACAGACAGTGAGTGTTACAAGCTCCGAGGATCAGGGTGAGATGACAGTAAATTAAAGCGCTTCAGCTGAGGCTTTTTTTTTTTTTTTTTTTTTTTTAAGTATTTGGTACAGGGTCTCGCTACACAGCCCGGAATCGTCCTGCCTCAGCCCTGGGATTACAGGTGTGCGCCACAACACCTGGTTTCTGTGGTGGTGGGCTCGGCACGCCGAGGCCCCTGTGCTTGCCAGGCAGGGGCTTAGACTGCTGAACTATATCCCTGGCCCTTTCAGCCGAGTCTTAAGTGTTTAGGTAAGCTTAGGAGCCCGGGTTCCATCCCCGGCACCGCCTGCCTCGCCGGCCGGCCCGCAAGTGCGCTGAGGCAGCGGAGGAGTCTGGGCCTGGTAGCGCACACCCTAATCCCAGCACTAGGGAGGCAGCAATCAGTAGGATCACTATGAGTCCAAGCTGCGTTAATGAATAATAAAACCAAAAAATAGCAAGTGTGGGCAATGATGTGGAGAAGCTGGCCACTTGTACCATACTTGTTGGTGGGAAAGTGAAGTGATCTGCTGCTGTGAACACTTGTAATCCTACAAGAAAAGAAAACGAAGGGTCGCGAAGGTGGAATAAGCGCTTCACTGGCAAGCTCAAGGCCCTGAGTTCAATCCCCGGTTCTGCCACAAAAAAAAAAGAAAAGAAAATGAGCAGTTCCTCTTCTGGGTACATACACAAAAGAGTTGAAAACAAGGTCTCAGAGATACTATGCGTCTATGTTCAAGGCGCCGTTTACAGTAGTTAAAAGTGGAAGCAATACAAATGTGCATTAACAAGTCAGTGGATAAACAGTGTGCTATGCACATGCAACAGTTTTTATTTTTAATTTTTTTAGATAGAGTCCCGCTATGCGGTTCAGGCCTAAAGTATGCAAGTTACAGAGGGACAAATATTGTGCAATTCCACATAAATAAGGTAATTAAGGACGCTTAGTATAAAGTAGAATAGAGGTCCTACTGCAAAAAAAAAAAAGAGAGAGAGAGAGAGAACCATTGCTGGGGAGTTAGCTCAGTAGAATAAGTGCTTTCCTGGCAAGCGCAAGGTCCTAAGTTCAATCCCTGGTACTGCAAAAACAAAAAAAGAGGTTGTCTGGGGAAGGACAGGGGGAATTATGAGTATAGAAATTTAGTTTGGCAGAATACAAAGCTTGGAGATTGGTTGCACAGCAATGAGGATGTACTACCACTATTCAACAGTACACTTTAAAATGGTAAAATGGCCAGGGATATAGCTCATTGGCTTAAAATCAATCCCTGGTATTGAGGGGGGGGGGAGGCTAAAGTGGAAACCAGGTGTGGTGGTGCATGCTTGTAATCTCAGCATGTGACAGGCTGTAGCAGGAGGATCACAGGGTTTGAGTCCAGCCTGAGCTGTATCACCTAGTGAGTTCAAGTCCAGCCAGAACTACATCTTGAGATGCTATCTCAAAAACCAAAACAAGACTGGGTGTGGTGGTGCATGCCTGTAATCCCAGCTCTGGGGACACTGAGAACAGGAAGATCACTACATAGTGAGACCCTGTATGAAATACATTTTTTTTTTAATTTATTTTCTTTATGTGTGTGTGTGTGTGTGTGTGTGTG